AAATATTCAACAATATTCGACATTCTTCAACAGACCCGGGAAGATCCGGGTTAGAATTGGTCTTCAGCAAGCATACTTGACAAAAGAGGCAACTAGCGGGATCGGGTGGTCAGGCTCGCTGCCTTGGTTGACACATGTCATCCTATCCAAATTGCGTAGATCGACGCTATTGCTGTTCTTTGAACACCAATTCTAACCAGTATCTTCACTGGTCTCGTTTCTCACGTCAGCTCTAAACAATCATCGTATCCAATTTCTTGCTATTCAAATATAGTTATATTTTAAAATGGGCAAATCTAGAAATATACATCAACACTTTCAGACCATAGCACAAATACTCAAACGTCTTCGATAACACAATACTGATAGGATGCAAGACATTTATTTGCAGACACAGCTACAGGCATTATCCTGCTTGCTTCTTGCTAGCTTTTTGTACCGTTAGATTTTGTACCGTTTGCATGGAGTAACGGCATCTTTGGCCCAAGTCAGGGCGTCTTCGTCGTCGATGCTCCTGTAGTGATTATAGCCCGAAGAGAGCCGCCTCACTGCAACCTGATCCACTTGCGATGTCACTGTCACTACAAATACGTCAGCCTGTGAGGTCAAAAGCCTGAATGTCTTGTGGATACTCGGCCCGCCAATGTTTTTTCCATCGGTGAAAATCAAGACAACGTTTTTTGCATCTGGACGATCACCATTGGAGGGTGCGAAGACATCAGATGCTGCCAGCTTAACACCATCACCTAGGACCGTGCGTCCACCAATGCCATGTTGTGCAGCCATAGCTGTTAACACGTCAGATCCGTTTGCGTATGTATTCAAGTGGAAGCCAATTTGAGCCTTTTTCGATACTGACATAAAGGCGACATTTGTACCTTGAGGACTTATGTCAAGGCCCCTGACAACATCCAAACTGAAATTTTTCATCTTCAAAAAATCCTGTTTTATTACTGAGGAAGATACGTCCTCTATGATGAGAACATCCAGAGGGTATGGTGTGCATTCTGAAATAAATCAAAACAAAATATTATTCATCATTTTGTACATTGCCTTGAAATAGTTATGCCGTACAAAATAGAGCATAGAATATGGAGTATAATAATAGCACTGTTGTCAATGTCGCGGGTACTGGTCTTGAGATGTCCCAAGGACAATAATTGATGAGACGGGGAACGTCGCTTACGATATGAACCAGTTTACTGCCTGTGAAATACGAACATTACAACATGAGAAAGATGTTGTGTGCGCCCGACATGGTCGGATGGTGACATGAAAGTGTCGTATATATCTTATATCAATACATCGGCAATAAACAATAAAATTATAGATATAAGATTGGTATATAATAGTTATGCTATAATTGTATAATTGATAAAATATATATGACGTCACGCATAAGCGTTTCGTCCGGGATATTTACAATTGATGTGACGTCACGCATTAGCGATCAGTCAGAATTATATAAAATTGATGATTTGGTATACTGTAGATATAAGATCATAATGATTGATCATTCACAACACTGTCTTACATGCAATGCCAGTGCTTTAAGTTAGTAAGTGATCCACGCGAGAGAAAGTTTACATTAGGCGGTCGCAATTAATTATTAACTTAAGATATATGTCATTACTATGTTGATGATAATAATATATATACTAGCAATGATATAGATGTAGAAAGAACATATGTAGAGAGGGTGCATACCTGTGAAATACGAACATTACAACATGAGAAAGATGTTGTGTGCGTCCGACATGGTCGGATGGTGACATGAAAGTGTCACACGTCACAGGCATGAAACGCACGAGATTTGGCGGGTAGCCGAATACGGGTGGCACGTACAACTCTCTACATATAACCAGTGGAGAAGCAGCCCTCTGGTGAAATAAAAGGGAAATAGAAGGCTGTCGGCGACATCAGCGATAAAAAAGTATTCACCTTGCAGCAGCAGTGGTCAAAGTTCCACAATGGGTCAAGACTGGATGGCCAGGGATTAACACAGCCCCTGGTTTTGAGGTAATGCGAGATGATCGAAGCATGCACTTACATTGTCGTAAACAGCTTCCAGAAACCCATACCATGTGGGATTAGTCCATGCTGCTCAGAAGGAGGTTCTGGAGGAGATACAGAAGGAGATTCTGGAGGAGACTCAATCTGAATACACTACACATTACTCCATCCTTCGGTATAAGGGAAATTCAATGTTCCGGGGGCATATGTCCCTTTAAATACCGTCAGTTTCATTGTCAATATATTCATTTGCAAAACATCCCGCTTCCTATGATACGCATTCTAAACAACTGACATGGCATGGCATGACAAGTTCACTGTACTTATTATAAGGCATGTACGTTGGCATTATGGATTCGAAAAAGGTCTCATACCACATCAGTTTTATTTTCTATTTCTAAATGGAACCAAATATTCAATAATATTCGACATTCTTCAACATACCCGGGAAGATCCGGGTTAGAGTTGGTTTTCTGCAAGCATACTTGACAAAAGAGGCAGTTAACAGGATCGGGTGGTCAGACTCGCTGCCTTGGTTGACACATGTCATCCTATCCCAATTGCGTAGATCGATGCTCTTGCTGTTTTTGAACACCAATTCTAACCAGTATCTTCACGGGTCTCGTTTCTCACGTCAGCTCTAAACAATCATCGTATCCAATTCCTTGCTATTCAAATATAGTTATATTTTAAAATGGGCAAATCTGGAAATAGACATCAACACTTTCAGACCATAGCACAAATAGTCACACGTTCGATAACAAAATACTGATAGGATGCAAGACATTTATTTGCAGACACAGCTACAGGCATTATCCTGCTTGCTTTTTGTACCGTTAGATTTTGTACCGTTTGCATGGAGTGACGGCATCTTTGGCCCAAGTCAGGGCGTCTTCGTCGTCGATGCTTCTGTAGTGATTATAGCCCGAAGAGAGCCGCGCCACTGCATCCTGATCCACTTGCGATGTCACTGTCACTACAAATACGTCAGCCTGTGAGGTCAAAAGCCTGAATGTCTTGTGGATACTCGGCCCGCCATTGTTTCTTCCATCGGTGAAAATCAAGACAACGTTTTTTGCATCTGGACGATCACCATTGGAGGGTGCGAAGACATCAGATGCTGCCAGCTTAACACCATCACCTAGGACCGTGCGTCCACCAATGCCATGTTGTGCAGCCATAGCTGTTAACACGTCAGATCCGTTTGCGTATGTATTCAAGTGGAAGCCAATTTGAGCCTTTTTCGATACTGACATAAAGGCGACATTTGTACCTTGAGGACTTATGTCAAGGCCCCTGACAACCTCCAAACTGAAATTTTTCATCTTCAAAAAATCCTGTTTTATTACTGAGGAAGATACGTCCTCTATGATGAGAACATCCAGAGGGTATGGTGTGCATTCTGAAATAAATCAAAACAAAATATTATTCATTATTTTGATAATGTGTCAAATACTCGAGCTCAGAAAAACAGCATTTTACACGAAGCATTCGTTTGACTTGACTTGAGATGAAAGTTAACTCACGGTGTCCGTGTTCCGACTGGAACGTTCGTGAATTGTGTCCTAACCTGTCTCTTGAGTATATTGATACAGAAAAATACTTCGACTCAAATGTGGATATATTGCTGTATAATGATTCTTCCCGAGAGAAAAAAAAATAGATTTGTGCTTCGGAGTTTTAACAAGGAGTGAATCCAGAGTGATATTGTCTGGCATAAAATAAGTAACACCATTACCAACAGACAGAAGCCCTAGGCTCACTTATTTTTGAATAAGTGTTAGAACGTGTACAGTGATTACAACTAAATTGCTTTGTGATATTAGTTTCTACAAAAATATTTCCTATAGCCCGATTCCTTTACATGGAAACACCAACATCTATAACCATTGACATGACCTTTCCAGATGTTCAATTAATGATAATGTTCAAATAATATATTTTACTATATATCTTATAACAGCTGTCAAGTGACAGTGACCCCGTGGCATTTACCTCAAGTTTTTAGTTTAGTATGTATAGTTTAATTGACAGTGAAATTATATTTGATGTACGATTTCTTTTCTGAACAGGAGCTGAATGTGGTGCTCCGAGGGAAACCATTCGCTTGTCAATTAGAGGGATCAAATGACACAAGAGTTCAAGAACATATCTAAACTATTACAAAGAATTGAACTTGTAAGATCATGATAGCATAACAGCACGTTGGTCTTGTAAAGAAACTGAGAGATATATTTGCCATCCATGGCACTGTCTTCATACAAGTTTGTCGAATGTCTATTCAAGAACATACCAAAGCAGTAAGTCAGTTCACCATCGATGTGGAAAAGTCCATAAAGCGTTATGTTTCTTCTCTCACAGGTCACTGTTTCCACGATGAATGGTAAATGACATATCCAAGGAATGAAGAATGTCGCGCAGATAAGCATGAGGTGTCCCTCTGTCGCTGCAAGCAAAAGCAATCTATCTTGAGCCATGTTACACTTTATCAAATAAAATGAAGTTTTCCTCTTTCAATAGAAATATGATAACATTAATCTCAAAGTTGATAGTATTCGGCAATTGCTCGATGGTCTGTTAAATTACTAGTATGCCTTTTGTGTTATATTCTTCTGATTCCGTATAACCAGCTTCAGACACTATTGTAATCGTAATGTACACATATTCAAACGTGAGAACAAAAGTATGAGGATAATCAAATGGAGAATGCCGATGTTTTTGTATATCATTGCGTTTTGCATTAATATAAATGTACATTTGCTTCAATACTGAAATCAATGTGTGAATAGGGTTGTTCAACATATTGTTACATTTAATATATTACCACTTGAACAAGTGTTTAGGTTGTCTGACATTCCACTGTGATATATGCCAGTGGTGATAATAACATTCAGTGCTTAAACAGTTCTTACAGTCAAGAGATCCTAGATTGAAAATCTTTAATAACCTGCTAACAGTACCATGATTGTATTGAATACATATAATAGCATCAAGCAGTATCTCGTTGATCTGTTTGTAGTTCGAAATCAGCAATATTTGTCTACACGTTATATTTGGGATCACACTTTTGTGGTAAAGTCAAAGTTTAGTACTTTTTGGATTGAGTTCCATCCAGTTCGAAAGCCCAAAAGTATTAGAATTTGTACTTTATCTAGGAAGTGTTATAACCACTATAGCACATGTTGCATTTGATCACTTTCTGAAATTCTTGGTGTATTCGTACAATATTTTGGCAAAAATACCGCAGTGTATAGTATGAATGTGTCATTGGTAAACCTTAATCTCATTTCACTCTTTCAAGGAATACTTGTAGTCCAAGAATAATAATTATAAGTAATCATTCTTTTCTCTTTGTTTGTTTTATACTTGCAATACTTTATAGACCATTGTTATTTTAGAGAAACGGATAAGTACTTAGAAGGATATAGTCAAAATCCGATGTCTTCAGCTACTGTGAAAACTACACATTCATGATTGTATATTCCATCAGGTATTTGGAACACACTGGAAAAACGTTTGAAAATGGACAACAGTATTGGGAGTGTTAAGAATGGTGGGGCAGTGACCACTCCAACATAAGTCATTCCAGCCATTCAAATTCATTATACAAGGTTGAATCGGTGAGTTGAATAGAGGGCAGAATATGTTCCAGCAGCTGGATGTAGATAAGTGTCTGATTCAGCGTTAAATTAACACAGGTTATTATCTGCATATTGTCCCATTTTTGGGACGGTATTTTGGCGGAAAATTGAGTATGGAAAAAATGCAAACCAATTTCATTTTATTTTTCGATTTGAATAACGAAATATTTAAACACATTCTAATGAATTTACATAGTTAAAATTGGGACCAAGAAAAAAAAATCATCTGACCCCAAACTTCCCGGAATTGGCAGGGGAGCTGCCTTGCCACTGGAAGTCGCCATACTTAAAGGGACGTGTCGTTGCCAGTAATGTGAATTGCTCAACCACTAAACTCTTTACTCAGCTTCATTTACTGCTAAACTGCTAGTCTCTAACTATAATAGAGAGAAATGCTTTTTTGAAGCACCCGTCCAAAAAGGGGACAATATGCATAAATAGGTTAAGAGGCCCCACAAAGTTGAAAACAGACCTTTTGTATATAAAGCAATGTCTGATCCACATGTATATCGGGGATCAGTAGCAGCCATCGTCCATCCTTGGGGTGCTTCATACCAGCCCGGAGCAATTGTATCGTTATAAGGAGTATATCTGTTACTTGGAGACCTGAGATCCATGTCGGGCAACACGTTGAACTTGTCGCAAGGATCTTCAAGCAAAATGTATTCATCATAAACAATTCATCAATAAAGCCACCATATTATGGTAAAGAACATTATGTTGTCACGTTATAGAAATAAATAGAATAAAATTTTATTGATAAATTTTAATCACAAAACGTGATCAAATATGAAGGCTATAGGTACATATGTTGTCCTATTTAAGTCGTACTTTTATATTTACATTACTTTGGAAATAAAATATACATCCTTAAAATCAACTAGCTGAACAAACGATACATATGAATCGTGGGTTATACAAATGCGTAAATGTTCAATAACAACGTAATTTTTAATACTCCAGCCACTGTAGTGGCCTGTAAATTACAGATTTTGGAAGACCTGAAGAAAAGAGAAGTGCAAAGACACCTCTGTAATCTGTGACACATCCATCCAAGTTGAACAGAATGGCTGTCCAATCCAGTTTACGACACGCCATGGAATACTGGGATTCACACGGGGTTCACCAGTGGGAGTCCCACAGGGACACAGTTTCATATGAATCACAGACAGTGATAGTGTGATCAATAGAATGATACGTTAAACATGTTGACTGAATTTATACCATAACACGATTATGTCAACAATCCTACAGAGCTTTAATATATTACCATGTAATAATCCTTTTTCGACCCTTGAAGATTCGAGGAGAATGAGCAACCGATATTGTTAATAACATCATCATCGAAATGCATGTTATTTTGTAATCATGAGTTAAAACTTATCGAAGAATTCTTACCTCCTTGACATGACGGACCTGAAAACCCTGTTGGACATTGACATCGAGAGCCGTAACGTTCGGAAATACATGTGCCTCCATTTTGACATGGGTTGAAAAAACAGAAATTCGGTTCTGAAAGAACAAACATTACAGCATTTGATCTATATGATAGTAAACATAACATGTCTGATGGTCCTGTGAATAGGGCTCAAGTCACAAATCAGTTGAAATTAAGCAACGTTGGGCGCAACGTTGAGTCCTTTGATGGGCGGCCGTGTTTGACTGCTAGACTCCTGAAAGTTTCAAGAATTTCACTCCTGTCCCACAGCGAAGCACATGTGATACATGTGGTCTTACCTAAGGCAAGTGAGTTTGTTCTGTTTACCTAGCAGAAAATGTGTACCTGGTGGGATAAGTCATGTGACTATAACCTTCTTGCGCCTAACAGGCAGCTTGGGTTATCCTCTAAGAATGTGTTAATGCGCTTTGAGCATGCCTTCTTGGCATGGAGTCAGCCAGCGCAATATATATCCCATTGCTATTATTATTATGTTTTACAGATTAGAAAATATACTCGGCGTCATTGATGAAGGATCAAGTTATTGGTAACAGTATTTCTTAAAAGTTGTCAAATCATCGTTTTTGTTTGAAATACATGTGTACATGTATATACAACTGAATGTTTTACAAACTTTCTTAACAGTATGGAAAACACATCAGACCGTTAAAATGTTATTATTACGTTCTATAACGTCCGATACATTCTGTTACAAATGGCACATTTTTTATTCAAATTGTCAATACGGAAATCCACCTGCCACTTAATGTCAATGATTGGCACGTCGCTCTGTTGTTCACAATAGGCCTTTTGCAATTTGGTCAAACTCAGCGACAGGTTGCTGTCCGCTTTAATGTGAGTCAGAATGCTATTGGTAGACTGTGGCAGATGTTTCAAGCCAATGGGTCCGTGGAATATGCAGGTCGATCAGGTCGCCCCAGAGTCACAACAGTCCGAGATGATAGGCACATGATTAACACTGCGTTACGTAACATTCCTTAACGCAGCAGATCTCCAGACAGAATGTTAACAATGTATGGTTATCCAGGAGCACCGTTCATCGACGTTTAAGGGAAGCCGGACTCCGTTGTAGGCGACCTGCAGTTCGTCCACCACTAACACCACGTCACAGGCAGGCGCGTTTCAGATGGAGTAGACATCATGGCGGCTGGAATCAATGTCAATGGTCTCGTGTGCTTCCGCAAGCTTTCTTTATGAACTTCATAAGGAGCATGACAACAAGGTGCATCTGTATCTTGGACACGCGAGGAGGATAAGATATTGAATTACCGAGAGCTTCATGTTTGTCATATTCATTTTGGGGGGACTGATGCTGGTGCTGTTTGAAGTTTTTGTCTGTAAGTCACGATGTCTCACGTTTGTCAACACATTAAACATTATGAATACACTCTTAGTTTTATTATTTCTAAGAAACTTTTCTTTACATGTGCTATATAGGATTTGACCCATCATGGATGACGCCTAGTATATGCAGCAGAGAGGGTTCGGGTGTTCCTGGCACAGTCAGGCTGGTAAGGCTCAACACCCAGTCGAACCCACCAAGAACCTTCCGGAGAATATGTGGATTCTCAAACACTGCAGCCTTCTGCATTACCAAGAGTGTCAAAAGGGCTGTGCTCCCGTGGGAGAATCCGGGAACTATCCTGATATGCGCCAAGAGATCAGGAGCTACCAAACCAAGGGCACCGAGAACAACTGGGAGTCTGACGACAGTGTACTTGGGATGCAAACGAAATATTTCAAGGCGAGATTCGCATATTAAGCATGCTTTTCCTGAATCTTGCCAATCACATTGCTGTAAAAAAGGACAGAAATTTCAATGATACACTGACTGACTGAGTTTGGTTTTACGTCGCTTTTATCAATATTCCAGCAACATCACGGCGGGAGACACCAGAAATGGGCTTCACTCATTGTACCCATGTAGGGATTCGAACCCGGGTCTTCGGCGTGACGAGCCAACGCTTTAACCGCTAGACTACCCCACCGCCCTTCAATGATACAGATAAATTCATTGGCTTAATCAAAAAAGGACAAGATCAGGTTTGCTGGCAGGAATTCTTCTGAGGCTGCACATGGGCGTATTCCAAAGAAGTTTAAAAGCATCATTTTCCATGACGCCCTGGACATCATGTTGTTTAAGATATGTTGTTTATGCCAAGGAAGGGCATCCAGTGACAAGATGTTGGACAGTCTCTCTGTACATTCATTACATAATCGACATTTCATGTCAATATTTTCTTTAAGGATCACATTTAGGCGATTGCGAGTGAAAAGTGACTGGTCCTGGGCAGCAAAAGGAAAGCCCTCTGTTGCACTTTTAAGACAAGCCGAATTCATCCAGACAAAGGAGTCGGTTGGTTTGCTATTCTGTTCCACACACTGCATGTACATATGATGCAATGGCCTCTCAGAAAGCTTCTCCACAAATGACCGACTCTGGGTAGACTTGGTGAAGGACTTCACCTGGCTTACTCCCACCGCTGTCCAGCATTACATCGCCATCAACAAAGTCAACCTCAAATTTCCGATTCTCTCCAACAATCTTGACACGCTTCAATGGAACTGGAAATTTCTTGACATGCATCACCAGAGGATCATCCGATAAATAAATATGTGCAAAAGTACACAATGAATTTCCATCATGAAGAGCCTCCACATTAATATCAAACCCCGACCTCCAGAATTGATTGTCACATATAAACGATACAGAGAGGAACGAGGGTAGTGGGCCCTGTTATCAGACATGATCCTTCTGGTCAGGCGTTTATCTTGTTTTGTCTAATCAACTACTCCAAAGGAATAGGAAAGGAAATGGCACAGCAAAAGTATTGGTAGCTTTGAGCTCCAGATTTTCTTTAAGCGAGTTTTATACTCAGCCCGAAGTTTGTCTTGAATCTGGACATCCTGGAGCTTGTCTCGAACTTGCATTCCAAGATAGGTGTGGACCTAATCTTCCACAAAATGCTCAATAACTCTTCCCCCTGTAACTTGACCGATCCATCATTAATGACCTTGCCACGTTTCAAATGAAGGGTATTACATTTGTCGAGTCCAAATGTCATGCCAATATCATTACAAAAGTACTCGGCAAGGAGAACCTGCTCTTTCAAATTGGCAAGGAGCTCGATGTCATCCATGTAAAGGAGATGAGTACGCGGTGTTGGGGATCTGTGCTGAGGAGGCCCAGGATGGTAACCCTCCTCTTTATTGAGCAGAAAACACAAAGGATTTAAAGACAAACAAAAAAGCAAAGGACTGAAGGAGTTCCCTGTACTATTCCCCTTCTGATTGGAATAGATTCCGAAGTCTGCACCTGCCCTTGCAAGTACATCTCAAGTTGAGTCTTCCAGCAGCTCATTAAATCAAGTACGCTCAGGGAGGTCAATACAATGAAGAGACTTCAGAATCCATTCATGAGGGACAGGGTTATAAACATTTTCTGTTGTCAGTTCAGCACATGGAGAGGTTAAGGTGATCCTTGCAACCCCAACATCCTTTTCGCCCCACTTCTGCTCTCTATAAATTGCATCATTGGCAGATAAGTAGGATGATCAACACCTGTGAATATTCTATATTGTGTGTTCAAACATATCATAGGGCGGAAGTTTTTGGGATCAGTCAAGTCTCCTTTCTTGGGAAGGAGTATTGTGCGACCTTTGCAGAACAATGAAGGAACATCGCCTGTGTCCACGCGAGAATTGAAGCAGTGAAGTAATATTGCGTTTGGGCACAGGGGAACAGTTTCCAATAGCGGTTTCGAATGCCTTGGGCCCTGGAGCTTTATTAGATTTTTCAGGCAATCTGGTGAGATGTAACAGACAAACTACCTAGTTATTTTCTCATGCATTGCATGGTCGTAATCATGGACCCATGGTGCCTCAAGGTTACAGTCGCTGGGTACAGACCACAACTGTTTCCAAAACCTTTCATTGGCGTCCATGGGGGCCGTTATCATGTTCTCCATCATCCTTTTTGAGTTGCCTGTAAAATACCTCTCATTGTTTCTAAAGTGTTATTTTGTTTGATAAATTTCTTCTTTTCCCATTGTGTCTGTTATTCAGTCCAAACCTTTAATTTCGCCTTAAGGGAATCGACAAGTTGGAGAAGCACCTTTTCTTTCGTTGTCTTTTAATTTCTCCAAACTGACTTTCGTCTTTTAGACATTGGGTTCTCTGAAGATCTTACTTTAAGGCACAGCTCTATCGAGGAAATTTTTCTTTTAGTGTCATTACGTTTTACTAGAAACTGGTTTTACTTTGGTCTTTTTGTTATTATCATTGGGTGAGAAGTTCCTCGAGCGGCAGAATAGACACAGAACTTAACTTCATATAACAAACAGTCCACAGAAAGTTTGAGAGAAATAGCTTCATTATGTAAATCAATTTCATTTTAGGGACACGTTTAGTTGTTAAATTGGCCTCCGTTTTCCCAAAGGTAAATCACATGTTTCCTAAACGAGATTTTCGGAAAAATCTGCAGCTGAGGAAGAAGAGTTTGTGGCCAATTGGCTCTAAGCCAGAATAGTTTACATCAGAGAGATGGGTTGAGCCGGACGTCCATTCGAAGTTTTGAGTCTGCCACCACTGGAACATTCTGCTCATGGGAATGTTCCTGACGGGCACCAGTTGTTGGTTCAACTTGCTCACGGCGCATGTGAGTCTTAAGTCGCCGGAGGTGGTCTCGGAGATTTTGCTCCGTCAGGTAAGCGTACAGTGGCAAACAATATATTGAGTAAACAACAGCAATATTGAAACAATATGCGATAATAGAATAAACAAATGATACCAAGTAGTAAATTGCACACGGGAAACAATGTTATGTTCCGTAATATCCATAATCGTATTCATTTAATAAAACTTATCCAAACATTGCGGTTTCATTGCACTTTTGACATGAAGTAATTTTAATATATCGCTATTGTCTAAAAGTATATTCATTTACTTCACATAATAGGATTAATCCAAACATACTTACGAAAACAGAAGACACTATCTTCAATATGAGTTTTCATAAGGTAGCTTTCTACACCGTTGCAGATACGGGTTTGTATCTCCATTTCATGGGCACATGTGCTGTTCTCATTCTCGACGCATACAACTGATATGCTGTTTCTTAGTTCTACAACAGAATATTTACAAGAGAAATCCCATGATGATGTTTGGTTTGTTTGTTTGTCATTATTACTTGTTTGTTTGTTTAACGGCGCACTTAGCAATATTACAGCTAAACAGCAACGGTGTGTAAATAATCGAGTCTGGACCAGACAATACAGTCATCAACATCATGAGCATCGATCTTGTTAAGCAAGGGAGCCAGCTTGACCACCCGACCCCGTTAGTCGCCTCTTACGACAAGCATAGGTTGCTGAAGACCAATTCTACCTGGATCTTACCTGGTGGATATTGTTTGGTAAGCATGAGAAGACGTTACTGACATGAAGGTCGTTATACCTAGAACCATTATACCAAGAACCCTTCATAATTTCGTCGTGTAGTATAATATATTATTCTTGTGTCTTGATAAACAATTAACCACTGTCCTGATTTGCTGTCAGATATATTCTTGCGTGCGGTTACTCGTTTTGAAAATTGGTGTTTTGGGTGCCATAAAGGGACATGAATGACAACAATAATTCCAGCGACAAAATCCTTTCCACATCTCTGCTGAAAGTGTAGCATGTTGTGAATATGTGTTTATGAATCAAATAGTGATGACACCAGGTGTTCATATAAAGATGACCGTACCCAACCCTATCCTTGGCACGTGTCATGAACACAAGCAAGAGCTAGTCAATGGTCCACCTTGAAAAAGAATACGGTAACGTATGGAACAACAAGGAATTTACATCGGATACGTTTTTGGTATTGATGGAAACTTGGAGGTGTTGGAATATTGCTCGACATGAAGAGACAGTTGAGTATTGGAACGTTGATGTCATCCCTCGTGGCATACATGACAGGCTTTGTCATTCTGCATCTTCATGCACAGATCAAAGCACGGATCCCCAGCCCTGCAACAAACCAAGACACCTAAATACATCAGTGTATGATGTGGTTACCTTTCCTCCAGATTGGGTATCGCCCACCACACTTATCAAGTCCAGGAGCATATTCCAGCAGATGTCCACCATCAGATGCATAATAGTAAGAATTACGATATATGTCTTCAATGCCAGATCCCTGACCAAACATGGGCCATCGATATTCAAGCCTGTTTATAGTTTTTCGAGCGCCACAGTACGCTGAAAAAACGTGGATGTAAAATCTGAATAGTTATAGTATATCAGCTGTAACATGACATAGCAAAGAGCTAATGTCCTTCAAAGCTAATTCGTGATTTGAATTGTGTGAGTGAGTGAGTTAAGATTCAAGGCACATCGGCAATATTTCAGCCATATCGTGACTAAAACAACTTCTAAATACATGATAAGTTGAATTATAAAAACCTGTCAACAAAGGACAGTAAAAAACACTAGAAGATCACAGATATTAATATAAAACCAGTTTGTAAATCTAAAACGTACTTACTACTAATACAATACAACATAAAAGCAGCTGAAAGTAGATCACCATATTAGAGACCATGGGGACTTACAGTGCTTTTGCTACCTGCATGGATCCTAGCTGGATTTGCACCATCCCTTCAGTCGCTGGCGATTGTAATTCAGTTTAGCCAAATATTAAAACAACACATATCCTACTATCAAAAACACGCAGTATGAAAAAACCAAACCCTTTGAATGAAATGCGACTAATATACCCTCTCAGGAGGACAATAATTTTACGTTACTTCAACCCCCTTTGACGGTAGTGCCACTAACAAACAGTCAAAGTTATTTATTCATTCTGACAAATTAAAATTCATATACTAATTAAAATACATATCAAAATTCATCAATCAATTCAATTTCATTTAGTCCTCCTGAGATTATGCATAAGTCCCCAAAGTATGAAAGGAAATGTAAACTTACCAGTTTTTCTTAAACGTAGTATTTTTGTGATTTTTGTGAATGTATGGCTAAATTTCCCGACAATCGCCAGCAGCTGAAACTTTGAAAGTCATGATATGGCTGTATTATAGCCAATGTGACTGTAAATGTTAACTCACTCAATCAATTTCTTTGAAAAACTTTTTGATTAAATGAACATGTACATTATAAAAAAGACCCTCCATAGTTTTACAGTGAAATAGTTATCCCTTGTGATGGAAAAATGAATTATGTGAGTAAAGAACTACTAAACAGTGATTTTGGTGGGCGGGTCCATACAGATAACTGCATGGATTGATGCAAATTTCAAAGTACTTATTTGCATACAGAGCTGCATTGACTTACACTCTTGTGCGGAACACAAAGACAGCATGCATAAAGCGAGGAGGAATCTTGCCACCATTTTCTGCAAATAAAGCAAACCTATAGCTAGTCTCGTTAATAACTTTCATAGCAACCGTAGGCAGTATAAAGTTAAAATAAGCTCAGCCCTATGATGCAATCACTCCACGACACACCCGTATGATATAATCGGAATCTGGTTTCGATTTTCAGTAAATAATTCTTGTGATTATGGAACGCTTACCTCGGTTTTATTTCTGTAATGTTATGATACACGACAAGTGTGTTTTGGACTGACTGACTGACTGAGTTTGGTTTTACGCCGCTTTTAGCAATATTCCAGCAACATCACGGCGGGGGACACCAGAAATGGGCTTCACATATTGTACCCATGTAGGGATTCGAACCCGGGTCTTCGGCGTGACGAGCCAACGCTTTAACCACTAGGCTACCCCACCGCCCCAGTGTGTTTTGGAAGGTCCTCAGCACGCCCACTAAGTATTTCAGTGTGTGGTGTCTTTGTGTGTGGTGTGCGTGAGAGTGGGTCTGAACCTTCAACACTTGATACACACTGATGAATATAATCTATAACCACGAACTGTTTGGTGTGATAAGGACGAAAACACTACATGTTGTATATGTTTTGAAGAGCAAATTTCAAACTGTAGCATATTTTACTCTGAAGAATGAATAAAAGTGTGTACCATTTAATTTTCTATTTGAGAGGAATAAAATCATCGTGAATATTAACAATCCGGGAAAGTGTGGTCACCATGACTACGGCACTAATCGTATTGTCACATAATTCTCTGGAAGGAATGTTGTGATTGTGTTAACCAACACAACGACATCGGCACCTGGTCATCCCTTCCATCATTCCTTATGGACAGCCTGTGCCAATTATGCAGAGTTTTAACGGGGACCTCTAGCTCAAAGTTGGCGTCCAAGATAGTCTTTTTGTGGAGAAAGGTTTTGAGATGCCACTTTCAAGTTTTCAAGGGTTGGAGAGTTCATCACGGAGGGAATTCCATTTGACCGATGCCATATTCTGGAAAGACTTGTATTCAAATGATTTGAGATTCCACTTTCATATAGAGTTCCTGTGGGCATGTAAGGAGAGATGAGGCGCAATGCCATGAATGCACTGATAAGCAAGTGTAACGATCTCATAGTCAATGCCCACGGTCATTGGATCCAGAACAATATCTTCTTGATTGCCAAATAACAGCTCTATTTTCACAGCAGAAGCAAATGCCATATTAACGGCCTTTAAATATATTAATAAACACTCTATATACAAAAATATATAATATTTTCAGACTCTCTTTCTTGCCTTAAGGCTATTAAAAATATTTCTTGTAAACATCCAATTATAATCGAAATTATTGAATTATATAATGAGCTTGCTACTGGCCATTACGACATTGTCTTCTGTTGGCTACCCAGCCACGTTGGCATTTCTGGGAACACAATGGCCGATTTTGCTGCCAAGGCAGCACTCAACAAATTTGTGACACCACTTCTTATTCCATACTCTGATTACAAAGCTAGCATTGGAACTTACATCCGGGATATGATGCAGAAGAAGTGGGACACCCGGGTAGGCATAAAAATATTACATGCAATAAAACCCTATATTGGTTACACCTTCTTGGGTGGTCAGTCCAGATCTGAAGAGGTGATTATGCGACGATGTCGTATTGGCCATACTAGATATACTCATGAATACCTGTTAAAAGGTGAAAATCCTCCGTTTTGTATCCCTTAGGATGAAAGAATCACGGTCAAGCATGTCCTGCTTGACTGTATTGAATAGTCCATCACAAGAGATAACTATATCAAATCACGAACTATGAAGGATCTTTTTAATAATGTCAGTTCTCATTTAGGGGAGTTAAAGTACTGTAAAATTACTGTCCACCTGAGAGGGTACGTAAGTCCACAAACATTCAAAGTAAATTGAAACTCTCCATTATTTTTAATCGTAGAATATGTGTGTTTTCAAATGTATGGCTAGATTTGTCAAAGTTGCTAACGACTGAAGAGATGGTATAAATCCAGTTAGCTGAATGGTATACGATATGGCTGAAATACTGCCGATGTGACTTTAAATTTTAACTCACTCACTCATAATCAATACGAGCTTCAATAGGCAACCGATGAAGAGAATCAGGATTTGAGTGATGTGGCAATGTTTTGGTTGTAGGTTAACTATGCGGGCAGCTGTGTTAGGGATTCGTTGACGCTTTTGGATGGACTCTTGTGAAGCTGCAACCAACATACATCCAAAATCTGTTTCTTCATGGAAAGTTCAGATTAGAATAAGACGCCAAGATGTTTGACACATGGAGAAGGCTGAATGATTTGATATCCAACTTTCAATTGATCATGTTGTGATTTTGCTATTATGTTTCTTGTGCCAACAATCATAGATTCTATCTTGTGAGGTCCAGCGTTGTCATCCATAGATATCGGGCGACTGACAAGGGGGAATGTGGCATGATGAATGTGCCGAGTACTGGGATTTTATTTCTTTTTGCATTCAACGGAACGCACATGACCATCATCACCGCACCACTACCAAAGATATCAGCTACATGGATTATTTCCTGATCATAGCGTCATTACGGCAAGATAGAGACTTTCATCCGACCAATGAAGTTGCGGTTTTGTTCGAGCCCTTACCACGCCAGACGTTCCTGTCTGTGCCTGTCTGTGAGAGTGGGGAACATACCCACAGCCCGCAGCCTCCCTGAGATGGTACTTGTGGTCAGGCGGACTCCCACAATCCACTGCCGGGGCAATTCTTTCTCAAGGATTGCGTCTTGCCTGATGAATTAATACTCGGACTTTGACCTTCCTAGGTCGTCCAGGCCTTCGGACGACACTTTACTTGACATCAACAAAATTACTTCAAGTCAACATCGTGGATTTTGTACGTCTTGCCATGTCAAGAAAAGTCAATTTCTTGTGCTGCAGTCTTTTAAATTAGTTGCAAATTCTGCAATTATGAAATATGTTCGCCAGTGTGCTTGCAAACTATAGTTTGTAGTCCGATTTTGTTTAAATAACGTGTTTTACATACCCGAATGTTTGTCTATGACCGCCCTTGGATTCAGGTGGGGCGTAATTAATGCCCGTGTATGTGTATGAGAAGAAGGTAAAATAGAGGCCTTTTTTCCCATCTCAAATTCTAAATGCATGAACATTATCAGTCATATTCAGATGGCTCATAGCTTGTTTTTTTCTGTCATACATGTGAGTTTGGGACTTCGGACATGGTAAAATATTGGCTAAATTCAGTTACAACAGAGGAGGTTTACACCTTGAAATGAACTCCTTACGATGTTTCCGCGAATGAAGATAAATATTTCACATGACATTTTTAGTGATTGTATCACCTTTAAAATTCACTTTAGTTGAAATACTTGCTTTTATCAAAATATTCGAGAAACATTTAACAAAATACTTTAAAATCTGCCTATATTATCCTTTCCGTTGCATGAAGTGTTGTCATAGGACGTTATTTTACACTAGTTTCCTAGCATATCTAGCTTTCACCGTGACAGAGTCATAGTACCCAAACATGGAATTGGGAAATAAAAAAAAATCAACATTTTGTGAACATTTTGCTCAAGTTATGCAGATTATAAGATGAAAAAAGGGTTTTATCCTTCATGGTCATAAACAATGATAGTAACTTACGTTTCTGAGGCTTGGCTCTCCGTCGTCGAGTCACAACTGTTCACGACATTCAGACTTATTTATATATTCTCGTTTTCCAATTAAAGTTTGGATTTACCGAAGCGTCCAGTTAACAAGGCCAAAACATGAATATGTTTCTTAATATCTAAGAACTTTAGGATACGTTCAATATAAGAACATCAATTAAAAGGTATTACATTTCACTCGGACGTGTCATTTGGCACTAAGTTTTCATCAGTGATGCCAATCTTGTCCACGTGGTTTAATAATGTGTTTATTGAAACGTATAAGTTTCAGTACCAATATAAGGATATGGATATTCCTTAACTTTGTTGTCATATGAAGATGGCAGTAATCAATATTTTGATACATATTAATTAATGTAAAACATTGTAGTGATATCACCCAGAGGGATCGCACCAAACTTTGAGTCGCTTT